ATTGTCACATATGTTGGACATGGATTCACATAATATTTAGTGATTATCCTTGACATTAATATTGGACACCAAATACTTTTACTGATAGAGTATTACAACTTTTTATTGTAAATTTATATTGATTTTTGAATATAATTTCCATTATTTATGCACTAATTTTAAAACCAAATGTTTACTATATATTTAATGATTCATTGTAAAATACAATATAAATAAATTGTTTCAATATTAAAATAATAGCTATTATTAATTATTTTAAATATAATAATTTAATAATTTATTTATTCAATTTAAATAAATATTATTAAAAATACAATTTGTGTCACATTTAGAACATGTATTAAATGGCTTCTACAGAAGTACATTGTACTTACTAACTTATTATTAAAATCATACAATTAACGATAGGAATATTGTTATCAGTAGTAATCAATTGTTTCGACCACATAATCGTCGGGAGGATAGAAGGGGTGGAAAGGCATGTGATAATCAATAACCGTGTAATCCATTGGTGGGCCAAATAGAAATCGCTTTTGTCGATTGGTTTTGGGATCTACTTCTTCAACATCTGACTTCTCAGCCTTCAAACTTAAATACCTTTTCAACAACTCTGCCATATGTTTGGACCCACTCTTGTCGTCATCATCTGTTGTCTTAATAGTTTCCGCTTTGTTTATATCATTTTCGGCATTCAATTTGTGAAATAAAACTATAAAATATTATAATTTATAAATTATATCAATTCAATTAATACTGTATTAGACTTACCACTACTGATGATTAAAGTTATTGCTAATAATCTATAGATAGTCATGCTTTTAGGAGTGATTCGACAATTAATAAATTAAAACAATAATATATTTTGCTTTATATAAACTCTTTTGAGTAAAAATCTGTATTTGTTTTCTGTATTATAAATAGTATTATTATTTTTATAAATACCATTTGTTGTCTAATAAATTAATTTTCAATGACAAGTCTGTTAACAATCGTATAACTTTAGATTTAAGGGTAAACTAAAAGTAATTTTAAAAACACAAATCCGAAGTAAAGGATAGTTTACTGGACGATAGATACAACTCGTATCATGCATGGTATTTAAAAATCTGGTGTTACCTTATTAAAAGCACAAGTCTTGTTGACCAACACTTGACATTTAAATTTTGAAATCACTTAATTTTATATTAATTAAATTGTTATCTAATATTATATTCTATTCAATACCTATAGTAATTAAAACCTTGATTTTGTCATTTGAATCGATGATGATACAATTAAATTCAATAAGTAAAAGTAAGTTATTGTAATTTTAGTTAAACAATAGGTAAACATATTTTTGTAAAAAAGTTTATTATTTAATATTTTGCTATTAAATTGTTTTCAAAACATTGTCAAAGTAATAATATTTGAATTTAATCTATTTTTTAATTAATAATAATTAATAACAAAAATTGGAAATGCCATTTTTACAATACAATTTTTATAAGTTTACATTTAAAATTCAAAACACAATTATTAATAATTTTGAATTAGGGAACATGATAGTTTTGTCTAAAACTAGTAGCAATAATAATCAGGTTGATAGCAATAGTCATCATATCCACCACAATAAGATCGTGTCTCTGGCTTTACGGCTTCAATATCTGTATTGACTTTAATGTGTGGTTCAGTTGCGTTCACTTTAACCAAACCGATCCTCTTCTTCAATAAGTCACTCAATATTTTCAAACCATTTTTTCGGCCCTCAGTGTTGGCGTTGAATGTGAGTCGATGTCCAACAAATGCTGGGTTTGGGACCTTATTGTCTACTTTTATATCGGTTCCATCGGTTCCGACAGTCAATTCTTCCGCAGAAACTATAAATTCATTGATATTTTATTTATAAAATATTCAACATTTAAAACATACCGTAAATTATTGCCAACAGAAGCGCAGCCAAAGTTGAATACAAATACATTTTTGTCAATAAGTTTAAGAAAAAATGTGTTGCTCTCAACGATTTTCATCATTACTTTTATACTTTAAATTTGTTTCAATTTTAATAACAATTTACTTAAAATAGATTTTTTGCTCTTAAAAACATTTGTTTCTTACAATTAATCTAAAATACAATTTAATTGACTAAAAAATAAGGTAATTATTCATTAAATCTTGTTTTTATTTATACAGAAAATATGTCTCTTTATAAACTTGAAAATATTTTGAAATTACATAATAAACTTATAGTTAAAATTTAAAACTAATAAATAAAGGGGGAATTTATTTAACAATTTAAAAATTTATTTTTAAAAAATAAAAAATTTGTTTTCTTAAATAATAATCCTTTTGTCACAAAAAGCCGTCTGTTTTTAAATTTCTGATCCAATTAAACGTTTTCATTGATGTCATCAAAATTAATCTAGTAGAAACTATTGGTTAATTACAAAGTACTTATTATATTAAATGTTTTTAATCATGCTATCATTATTTAGAACTAAAATATGTATTTTGACATATATTGCGTACCTATGCTATTAAACTTATTTATCAATGAAAATTTGACATAAATTATAACAAATTAATAGAAACAAATATTATGTCATATTTGTCAGGTAAAAAGTACGTAGACAACTAAATCGCCAAGGTATATGGAGGGGAGCCGAGGGAAGGGGTGTTGTCTTCGGCTACGCCTCCAATAATAAGTCCACCGAAGGGTTGATTAAATAGGCTTTGCTTAACGATAACTATGTTTATTATATTTTACATGGTTTGCAGAGAGAGGCACCGAAGTGCACACTCCAGAGTCTACACACTCTATGCTTGATTAACAATACATGCTTTGGGGTAAGTCTTAAATAGTCGAGGGATTAGTTAAGTACAATATGGTGTGATATGTGCTTCGATGGAAAAGTACAGTAATATACATTATATATGGAAAGTTATACAGTAATAGTGATAAGTATATGAGT